TTGTAGTTGTCATTGTTGTTTGGCAGGTCCAGGCCGGGTTCGAACCCACCAGCCCAGGTGTATGTGGTCAGCACTCTAGCTGCTGAGCTACAGGCACCGAGCCAGTATTTCAGATTTCTTTAACCACATCATTTAACCTGAAAAAAAATATTTTTGAAAGATCTTGAGTTTGCTTAAAACAATTGCTTTTTGTTCTTAGCCTATAGAGAATGTTGCAGACAAATAAAACATACATGTCCTCTAGACATTTAAAAACAAAAAGGGAAAGTACTCATACTCTTTTCTTTCTTTTTTAAGGAGCAGATCAAAGGGAAAGATGGAGCCACAACAGATAAGAGGCAGGGAGCTGGCACTCTTCCCTTTTATAAACAGAAGAGGTAGCTGTGTGAGGCTTTTCAGTAGCTATCCTTTTATGTAGTGGGGGGATGAAGGGAAGAGGTAAAGGATACAGAGCCAGGAGGAACACAGTCTTGCTGCCTTTGGAACCACTTTTCCCTAACCCTAATGATTCTTATTTTTCCTCTCAAAACATTGGTTGACCACTCCCCAAGTAAGACTTCTCTTATTGTTTAAGCGTGAGTCCTAAAAATACCATTTTAAGACTACTTTTATTTTTTCAATAATTCTTATTTAGTGTTTCATTCTGAAAAAAGTAAAAAAAAAAAATAAATAAGAAGGGAGAAAGAAAAAAGAAGAAACTCTCTCTTCTATACATTCCCATCACCAAGAGATACCAATTAGTAATATCTAAGTAAATATCTTCTAGTCATATGTATGGTGAATATTTTCTAAGTTTTTATTTTCATTTCAGAAATATAAATTCTAATCTAACTGTCATTTCTCTGTATGTCCAGAACAGGAATGTTTACATTTCCCATCAAATGTTACAGAAGATGGCCCAGAGCCCAGGGACAAAGGATCATTGCCACAACTGCCCATTACTGAAGTGGAATCACACGTGTCCTCAGAAAAGCTCACCACCAACACATCTACATTCAAAGCTACCTCTCAAGTTGAGAGTACCTTAGACCAGCAGCAGAGGAATCTCAAAGCAGAGAGACTGAAGCAGTCCCCTGTGCAGGAGCAAAGTTTCAGGCAGATGCTTATCACCCATAAGAAAACTCCCACGGGGAAGAAAGACCATGAATGCAGTGAATGTGGTAAAGCCTTCATTTATAATTCACACCTTGTAATTCACCAGAGAATTCATTCTGGAGAGAAACCCTATAAGTGTAGTGATTGTGGGAAAACTTTCAATCAGAGCTCAAACCTCATTCAGCATCAGAGAATTCATACAGGAGAAAAACCCTACGAATGTAATGAATGTGGGAAGGCCTTCAGGTGGGGTGCTCATCTTGTTCAACATCAGAGGATTCATTCAGGAGAAAAACCTTACGAGTGTAATGAGTGTGGGAAAGCCTTCAGTCAAAGCTCATATCTAAGTCAGCATCTGAGAATTCACAGTGGAGAAAAACCTTTTATATGTAAAGGATGTGGGAAAGCTTACAGATGGAGTTCAGAGCTTATTAGACATCAGAGAGCTCATGCCATGAAAGAGCCTTCCCAGTATTTTGAAGGTGAGAACGTCTCCAGACAGACTTGTACATTTGTCTAATCTATAGGACTCGATCCCATAAAAGTTAGCAGCACCTTAAGGTTTTTTCTGTGTCTTTCTTGATTTAGGAAAAAACTATTTACCTACTCCCACCTGCAGATCATGTCCTTTTAGCTGAATATTAATTAAGATGGCCTTTGGCTACAAATATGAGCCAAATTATACTGTTCTCCTTTTCAGCAAGACCTTGGGTAAGATTTTGAGCTGCCCACCTCAATAAGATAGGTATGGTGATGCCTACTTCGTTAGAGTTCTGAGCCTGGCATAAAGTAGGTGTTCAGTCAGTGATAGTTATATTAGTATTTATTGTGAACGGGTCTCTGGTTCTAGCCCTTTCTTGGACCCATATTGGTCTTTCTCTAACAGGGTCATATCTGCAAGTGTCCAGGCAGAAGACAAAATTTGAGCAGGGTTTAATATAAAGTTTAGGCTCAGCATCTATGGCTCAAGCGGCTAAAGCGCCAGCCACATACACCTGAGGTGGCGGGTTCGAATCCAGCCCGAACCTGCCAAACAACAATAATGGCTGCAACCAAAAAATAGCC